CTCCCCCGCCGCTCTTTTCCTTCACGAACAACCCTGCCAGGCAATGACACAGTCATATTAGGCACCCCTGAATTTGGTTGTTTTGCATGAGTCCAAAAACAAATTCTACAAGTGACTTCAACAAAAATTAAGTGCAGCCAATTATATCTTAACATATGGTTCCGCAAAGAAAAAAGAGTGATACAAATATTGATATTCGCATGAACAATTTAACTAATACTAGCATATATCAATCAATATGATTCATCAGTTGGTCCAATTGAAGAAATTAATGACCTGATATCCTTACATGAATTCATAGAATCTCATCTCACAAATGATGATGGGCTGAAAAACCCTTTTGTATATAGAATGAGCAGACCCAAGTTTGTTGGATTTACTGAAATATTTTTCAGCGAAATTCATCAGGGCCGTCAAGCACCTAAATGCTAATCGATGAAAAAACACTTAAAAGCAGAATGAGAATCTCGCAAAGTTGAATCTTTTAACAGAAGAGAGTTTGTGAATCTACTCGGCGTCCCTACTCCCATCCCACCCCCTCCTTGGTATTTAACTATTTAGCTATATTGATGAGAATTTATTCATCTATGGTGAATAATATGGTAAAACAAATTACAGAAGATGCTTAAAAGCGGATTCTTTTCAGGGAAAAAATTACTTTTCCAATTTCAGTCATGACAACTTAGATTAACAAACTGAACCTCATAACAAGGTAAACAGAGGTTAAAGCAGTACCTGGCCTTATTTTCTCTTTGAATCCTTTGAATTTCTTCGTCTTGTTGAAGACCCTGCGAAGACCATGCTAGCACTATTAAGTATTTATTTTGCCCCCAAAAAAATAAATTGATTGGATTCATTGAAACAAAAATAAGAAAAGAAGAAGAGACCTGTTCGGTTGTGAATTCCTCAGGGGCGTCGGAATCGTTGTCTGACATTGATGATACTTCGAATTTCCCTTTCTCTCTTCCTCCTCTGAAATCGAATCAGTCGAGAGGGTCGAACTCGAACTCTTTCTAGGGTTTAAGCAACGTAGCGCACTGGTTTTATCTTTTCTACTAGAACCACCCATGTCTGCGAATGAAACATTTTTATTGGGCCGTTTGGCTTGCTTACGTGAGAGCAAAATCAATTGGGCTATAAAGAAAATTTTGTAACTATTCCAAATCTAGCTTAACATGGGCCTTGTTATCTCTAACGGGCCAGTCCAAAATGTTTTTTAGATTCACGTAGATTTCTACAAAAATGTCATAGTGTAAATATGGGCAATTAAGAGGAAAGGTTTCATTCTATTAAGTTATGATTTGTAAATTGAACTTTTGTTCTTTGTTAAAGGAAAAAAATTCATTTATGATGGAAAAAACCCTTACCATGTGTATGGGGTAATTTAACGGAGAAATAATGTTTTAAAATAATTTTTAAATGTTTCGTCATCAAGCGAATTGTTTGGATTAAAATTTTTTAATTATGCCATTTATATAAAGAATTTTAATTAACTATTTAAATAGAGTTTGAAATTCAATTTCAATTTATATTCTGGGTTTCTAAGAGATCAAAAGACGTCCTACTCACTTGAAACATATAGGGATGATTTAAAAAAAAATCAGGAACCAAAAGGTATATATATATATATATATATATATTAACTTACATAAAAAACATATTTAAGTAAAAATAAAAATATTTATTAAAAACAAAGAAGAAAAGAAAAGACATGTATCAACATGGTATTGCATAATTGATGGACATTCATGTCACTTGTGAATATAGTAAAAAATTCAATTCATATGGCTATATGTATATAAGAACCATTTCTTAAAAGATGTGATAAAATTACTAAAGTTCAAGCTGTAAGCACAAAAAAAAAAAAAAAAGTTGCTATTGGTTTTTATAAAACAACACACCAATAAAAAAAAGATACTTGCTATTAGTTTTTATAAAACAAAATAATAAAAAAATTCTTTCAAATTTTGTTTTAGGTTTTATTTAACTTGAACCATCACTATCAAACTCTTCAATATATTTTCATAATTATATATATTTATTTTAGTAACACTTGGTTAAATTTAAGTATAAATAAAAGTTATTCATTAAATAAAGTTAGATATATTAAATAATATTTAACAACCTAATATCTTAAGATTTTAGAGTATCATATAATGTTAAAGTCAAGTTTACTTATATGGTTTATTTACTATCTATTAATAAAATTCTTTTAATATCGTAAATTTTCTTAGTATCGAGATTGATTATTATGAATTAAAAATACCATAGTATTATTTTTGTCAATATTAATTGTCGCTAACGAATGTAAAAAGTAAAATAACCAGCCAATTAAAATTCAAAGTCTTTGAGTTTTTTTTTTAATAAAATAAAGTGACATATGCTTAACCTTTCATAAATGAAATTGACAATTCACTTTTATTGATATATATTTACTCTTCATAAAAAAAAAGACTATATATCAAATACTCTCTTTTTTTAATTGTTTTTTTTTCTGTCATTCTTTCGAACATATAATGTCACCTCATCTATAATATATGTATTTTTCTCTTGCTTTAAAGTTTGGTGTCCACCGATCTCTTCTCTTATAAAAATATCTACAATAAGTGTCAAACATAACAAATTGCAACAACACCGTGTGATGGCACATGCATGCAAGCACCTTCCTCATCATCTTCCTAATGATACCAAGGTTGGATGGTCGAACAATATTCATCTTTCATTCCAATAAAATAAATACCCACCATTTTGAGTCAAAATAAAAAAAGCTATAATATTTCATGGTGGGAGCTACAAATATGTGATTCTTTGTTACAAATATCCATTTGCTTTTTGAAATGTATTAACTTGAACGACGACCAGAAAAAGCAAAGCAAATATTGCTACTACTTTATGTTTTATGTGCTTCACTTAAAAATTCGGGGAATCATTCCTTTGCATCGCTGTATCCTCGCCTTGTTTTTTATTTTTTAAATTTATTATTATTATATATATATAAAGGATCAAATTATTTTTAGTAAAGTTAATTCACTAAATAACTTATGATATATATTGAATTTTAATGATTCAACTATTAAATTAAATACTTTTAATGTATAAATAAAATTTACAATTTAAAAAAAATAAAAAATTATATAATATTTTAAATTAACATATAAAATATTTTTACAATTTTTCATTAATTTTAATTAATAATAAAATATCAAAAAAAAATTATAATTTATAAACTTAATTTATACATTAAAAACTTTTAATTTAACAATTTAATAATTGAAATTTAACTTTGTGTGTTAATAAGAAATGACAAAGTTATACTAGTAACTTAAAAGCGTTACTCTTTAACTCTATTATTTATTTAATTTTAATCTAATTATTCTAAGTTTTAACGAGTTTTTTTTTTTTTACAAACAATAATGACATTAAATTAAAAAACATGACATTGAATTGAGGCACAATATGTGCCAACAACTCAACATACAATTAGAAAATTGTCTTGGAGTTTATAACATAATTTAAAACAACTTATGCAAAAAGGTTCACCTCACATGAAAACATACACAGTAAAAAACCTCAAATCATTATTGTTATTTGATTCTTGCAAGTTTTGTTGTGATAGAAACTTTTACACCTCTTATCCCTTTAAAAGAGCTTAACGAATAGATATATGGTAACATCTCACAGCTCTTCATGGATTCCTTCTTCACAAACAAATAGCAGCTTCACCTATTTACAAAAGTTCTAACGAGCATATAATAATTAATTTTTAACCTCGTTCATTAAAATAAGAGATGAATGACTAAAATTAAAATTACTTCAAATAATTTTGATCATATAACTATCAAACTATGTATAAGTGATAAAAGTAAAAGTTTATTAATCACGTTACCACTTAAAACAACTATTTATATTTATATTTTAATATTAATTAATTAAATAATATATAGTTATTTTGATTTATCACAATCATTAACTGTTTTAAAATTTAAAGTAATGTGCGCGTGTGTGGGTTGCTTGCATTTATTTTGTATTAGGTATCCTCATTCCTTATTAGGATTAATGAGATTTTTCTCATTAGTTAGTCTATGATTAAATCAGTTAACTTTAACTATGGTTAGGGACTGTCCAATGTATTGTATATATATTACACTAATACTTGAGAATTGGGGTGGGCTGGAAAAATGAAACAGGATGAAAATTTCTTTTCACGACTCTATCAATAATTGCACTTGCTAACATGGTATCAGCACTGTGACGATCCTCTGCTTCCGCATTGCTCTTTGCTTTATTGAGATTTTTCTCTGATCAACCATGGTGGATTCCGCTAAAACCGCTACTTCCAATCATCTTGTCAATCCAGCAAACCCTCTTTTTCTTCATCCAGGAGAAAATCCTGCTTTAGTTCTTGTCACACCTTTACTTTCCGATAACAACTTTCAACAATGGAAGCATGACATGCTAGTGGCTCTTGAAACCAAAAACAAGGATCAGTTCGTACTTGGAACTCTTCCATGTCCAGCTTCCTCCGATCCTCTTCTTGAAGCATGGCGTCGCTGCAACAAGATGGTGATGTCATGGCTTGCACGTTCGATGACTCCTTCGATTCGTCAATCCATTATGTGGATTGATTCTGCTTCAGAAATCTGGCGCGATCTCTGTGATCGTTTTTCCCATGGCGATAAATTTCGCATTGCTAATTTGCAAGAAGAATTGCAGAATTGTAGACAAGGTGATCTCACCGTTTCACAATACTACACTCGATTGCGCATACTTTGGAAAGAACTATTCATGTATTGCACGGTTTTGGCTTGTTTCTGTTAAAAGTGCATGTTCTTGTGGCATTCTTTCAAAGATTCAAAAAGAACGTGATGATGATTGTGTGATCAAATTCCTACGAGACCTTAATGATGAATTTTCCCAAGTTCGTTCTCAGGTAATGCTTATGGAACCCATGCCTAGCCTCACTCGCATTTTTTCTTTGGTTCTTCAACAAGAACGTGAATTCGGAGGTCAACTTCCTCAAGTTCCCCAAGAATCTTCAGCTCTTGCTGCGATTAATGATAATTCTACTCGCAACAATTATTCCAGTCGAGGTGGATTTTCTAATAATCGTGCCGGTGGTCGTTCTGGCAAAGGCAATAGTACTGGTAAATTCACCAGATTTTGCACCAAATGCAAAAAGACCAACCACACCATAGACACGTGCTTCCAAATCTATGGATTTCCAACTGGATATAGAACTGATGGCAAGAACACATCCACCACTTCCAAGCCTTCTGTGAATGTGGTAGACACTATTTCTCCTACTACTTCTAACACTTCTGTTCAAGATGATGTCAAGCCTCAAAACAATTTCAGCTTTTCCAAAGATCAATATCAAGCTTTATTGGCATTGCTTCAACAGTCCCAGGACCAGGATTCCTCCACTTCTATTAATAGTGCTCACATTTGTTTTGTGACCACCCCAGGTATCAACCTATATCAATCCTCCTGGATTCTTGATAGTGGTGCCACGGAACATATTTGTCCTTCTAAATCACAATTTACTTTTTTGAATCCTATAAAACCTGTTTCAATTAGATTACCTAATAACCAGTATGTTCTTGCTCATTATTCTGACACTATTCAACTTGGAAACCTTACTCTTTATAACACATTATATGTTCCTGATTTCTTTGTTCACCTAATTTTCATCCCCAAACTTATAACTACTCTTAATTGCATTGTTATTTTTTATGAATATAATTGTGCCATTGTGCAGAAGCATACCTTCAAGAAGATTGGAGCAGCTAAGCAACAATCTGGCTTGTTTCAACTCTTACAACATAATGATTCCTCTATTTCTTTTGTTGAAACAAATAATTGTACCAATGTTTTAGCATCTTCTCTTACTACTAGTTTTTATGATTCTAAATCTGTATGGCATGCCAAATTAGGCCATCCCTCTAATAAAGTACTTCAAATTTTGTCTTCCTAATATACTGAAATAAAATTTCCTTTAGTACAAATATGTGATGTATGCTCTTTTGCTAAACAAAAAAGGTTACCATTTCCTGATAGCACATGCAGATCACAATTCTTTTTTGAACTCATTCATGTGGACATTTGGGGACCTC